TCCTGCTGCTCTTTGGACCTTGGCCCGAGGACTACTACCCCACTGAATGCATCGGTACACCTGAAAGAGCTCAAGCTAGCTTTTAAATCAGATCATACTGATCTGGGGTATCCCTTTGCCCTTTCCGCTCCTGTGTGGTTTCTGAAGACAACCAGGGCTGTGCGCTGTTTGAAAGTCAAGACATGGTAACAGATAGGGGGTTTTTATTTCCTTCCACTGAAAACCGGGATCTGTGTAATATGAGATCTCAATGTTTGGCCTAGCACAGATTCTTCTTCCTCTTTCTCAGCCTCCAGTTTCATTTTTAAATCAACAAGTACGGCTTCTCCCTAGTGATACTATTAAAAAATCAACCTTGTTGGGATGGAAACACAGTTTTACGACTAGGAAGGAGAAGAGAAAAAAATTGATCAGAAAAAAGGTTATACTTCTCTCTATTAAAATCTTGTACTTACAGATAAAATTTGAAAGCCTATGGTCCTTCCAATCTCATCATTCTATGCTATCCTCCATTATCCAGCAAATTCTCTCTAGTTAACACTACAACTGGCCGATATAAAAATGATCTTTCCTCTGCATAATGTGCAATAATGCTACATATTATTAGCTGAAGTCCTGAGTACATAATGCTCCACTTTCCCACCACCTGTCACTTTGGATTTTGTTGCTCCTTTGACCGAAGCTTTGTACCCTTCATTCATTCCCGTCTGCTTGTTGATTTGAAACAAGGATGCACCTAAATTTCCAGACACATTATTAACAAACAGCAGGCTGTCTCTTCACCTTCAGTCTGCAGGGCTGCTGCTCACTGCTGGACCCAAGAAACCCTCTGCCCTGGCTCAGCGGATGCTGTATCCTCCTCCACCTTCTCTCACACCACAGAGCCTATAAAACATGGCCCCATCCCTCTGCATTTGCAACCAGGCAACCCCTCAGCCCTCATGCTTTAGCTTTTCGTGCAGCCTGGTCCTGCCATGCAGTAACTGGGGAAAACATAGCTTTCCAGCTTCATTTATAATTGGCACAGGCCCTGAAAAATGATTGCCTGATACAGCCATTGGCTTGGGACCATCTATAGGACAAAGGCCCTTTTGATACTATTAGTGCTTTCCAGCCTGTCAACATTGTTCAGTTACTCGCTGCCTGGCTGGGGTCTGTCCGCTGGCGTTGCTTTGACTACGGCATCAGACTTGAGCAGACGACATGTGCCCCGCACAAAGATGAAACGCCATGTTTCAGAGCTGGGCTCTGACTTGAACTATACCTCCACGTAGAGAACAAAGAGCTGGGCAGGCTGCATAGCTACTTGGTGGGCCATCTTAGAGATGATGCCTGTCCACCTACTCCCTGGCCAGGCTGGGGAACTTGAGAGGAGAGAGTGATGCCTGTCATTTTCCTTTGCTGCTGGTTGTCAGCCCAGCAGAGCCCCGGTTTCCCCTGAAGCCAGAACCTAGCTCTGGGAAGACAGAGGTGGAAGAACACCGCGGCGTGCCATCCTCCTGCCCCTTTTCTTCCGCTCTGTTTTTCAGTTCTGGGGAAGTCTCCGGAAACCACAGCGACATGCTTCCCACCTTTCTCCTGTTCACTAGAAAGCCTGCAAGTGCCCCATGAACCTTTTGTCTGCTGTTTGCTTGCCGGGGCTTGTCCGGCCCTGGGGTGGAAGGTCTCCTCCTTCTCCTGGGGGCTGCTAAAGGGCTGCTGAGACTGTCAGCTTTTAATTCCTGCCCTGGTAACCGGACACAAATCAAGTGGTACAAGGATCATATCTCTATCAAGCATCAGCACTGACACCTGCTGCACTGATCACATCAAGCTACTATATTTTGGCACTGAACTCCCTGTAATTTTATACCAGAAGTTACAAGACCGGCTCAGTGTTGATCCATGCTATTTCAAATATGGTAACAAAATGCTCAATATTTTCATTAATACTGCTCGTTTCTACTGGCATATGCAGAAATCATGTAGGCAACAAACTGAAGAAGATATAAGCAATAAAGAGGAGCTCTCTGAGGGTTGGTCAGGTGTTCGGCAGTTGTTCCTAAACACTCTTTAGCACAGTTATTCTTCATAGCTTACTGTGGTGCAAGTGGAAGATCACATTCCCTCTCATTTGCTTCATCTTTTAGTTTATAAGATTCTATAATTCTTTCCATTCTTTTTCAACTGGTATATTTAAAATCTGCACCTGGTACAAACTCACCCTTGAAATCTATCAGCCAGATGAATGTGACTCATACCAGGAGTCTGAATACTTGAGTAAAATTCATTTCTCTTTCTTTCTGAACTAATCCAGAAACCAACAGGATATTACCACTACTAAAATTATGCATATAAAAAGTTGCCCAGCAATACAGTAGTAGCTGTTATGCCAGGTCCTTTATCTGGTAAGGTAAGATACAAAATCATCTTTCTTCTAGATCTTCTATTTTCTTTAGAAAATAAAGTTCCTTTCTAGGAGAAAGTGAAATTACATTTATTAATTTAGTATAATAAGTTCTAGTATCTTTTTATATATTATTTATATCGATAAATAAATTATAATTTTACAGATGGATAAACTATTGGTAACTGAGTTCTTACGAGTGGGAAGAACAACCTTTAAATGCAGTGCTCCCTCCTGGGGGGAAAAAAAAAAAACCAAACCAAAACCAAAACACAAAAAGGCCGAACAAACGAATCGAAACAAAAGAAAACGGATTGTTTTGAGGGTTAAATAGTGGAATAGCTGCTAATTCATTAAGCTGCCTTTGGGTCTATTTGCATTCCGCTTGTCCGCAGCTGCCCTCTGCTGCCAAGCCGCCGCCTTGCAGGAGGAACACCCGGCAAGGCGCATCCCCCCCGCCCCTCCTCTGAGCCCTGAGAAATTACTGAACCGGTCAGCAAACTGGGTGAAACGGCTCGGCTCGGGGTTTGGCAGACCTTTCCCAATGCAACCCACCGCTCTGGTGGGAGCGATGTTCCCTGGCAGTGTTTTCCACGCTTTCCTACGGTGAGAAGGTACGCGCTGTTCCCCACCTGCCTGGCAGAAACAATTCACGCTGGCCCTGGGGCGCGCGTCAGGCATGGACGTGCTTGAGGCTTCCTTGTTCTGGTTCTGTGCTCTGGGGAGCTGGCTGGTTGGACTCCTTTCACGCTAGCTTAACCCTATTTATTTTAAAGAAGTCACCTTTTGTCATTAGTATAGAATGAGACCGTATTTACATCGAGTCTCATCCCAAACATTGCAATACACTGAAACACGGATTCCTCCCCAACCTCCTTCTCCCTCTATGTCCCTCTGTCCTCCTCACAAGAACTTACTCCTTCAAAGGGTATCGCAAACCTCCTTTTTTTCTGCTTTCCCTGCTAAATTTTTTCTTCTCTCACCCTTTCATCCAATTTTCTTCCCTCCTTTCTTTTTCATTATCTCTGGCAGCCTCAGGACTCCCTCTCCACTAAAGGAGGCTTTGGAGCTCTTCAGGTTTGCAGATTTTGAAGCCAGAGAGACCGCTGTGATGATCTAGTCTGGACCATACAACTTCCTTCACTTATTGGATGTCTTTCATAAAAAAACCCAGAATTATATTTATCCAGTTTTGGCATCCTATCACTGCACTATATCTTTGGTAGCTGTGCGAAGAAGCCTTCTTTCAGCAACTTTCTTTTCCCCATGTTGGCACTTACCTAAATTGTGATCATCCTTCAGCTTCTCCAGTTCATTTACTTGCACCTCTCCCCCTGCATTTCTCAGTATCCTCAGAGAATGATTTCTTGACCTCAGCGCTTCACATACCCCTCAGAACTCCTCTCCTGAGCTTTTAAGCTTTTACAAAGTGCCATGTGCAACTGCCCGGTCAATTTTTCTCCTCAGCATTGGGAGATTTTTCTAATCTGGGACCGTGCCCTGTGAAAGGCACATTCACTAAAATTGCTAATAAATGGTTAGGTTGCACTTTTCATCTGGATTCTCTTTGCTCACGTTGGCCAGACCCACAGCCTGTGGGGTCATGATCCCTTTCCTAAGGCACTCACAGCCACAATGAGTACAAATCAGAGCTCTTTTCCTCCGTACTCCTGAGAGCTAACATTTTTCTACCTAACCAACCTAGATAAAAGCTTTTTTTGAGTCTTTATCATCCCTTGTCTTTGTGAATCTCTTTCTTTCTAGCTTTTACCCATTTATCTTGCTTATACCTCATATTAATTTAAAATATAACCGCTTATCGAGCTTATTCAGATGAAATCACAGAAGCAGAGAACCACTAGAGCTTTACAAGCCCAGGTACTATATTCAAAATATTTTCAGGTAAGTGAACCAAAATCAACATGCTTTCATGACACAGCAATGGAGAATGGGACAGAGAAACGTTTAGAAACTGGAAAAGAGACGCAACAATTTTACCCTGTATTTCTCTTTCTGTCACTAAAATACCTGTTCGTGTGACCACGTCCGTTCCGAGCCATCCTTCACACAGATGTCTAGCCTTAGCTCGGTCCCTGTGGCTCCGTGTTTACTGTCCACACAGAGGTTGGCTGCCACGTTTCGAATCTGCAAAACCAAGCAGCAACACTTCCCATTAAACCAGGCCGCAGAGTAGAGCTTCCAACGTTAGGGGGTTAGGAGCTTAGCTCTGAAGGGCTTGAGACTGACCATTAGTTACAGAAAACTGGTGGGAATGACTTTTTACTTCCTTCCTTGTGCTGCCTGCGTGCCTTCTGCAAACACTCTGCATAACTTACTCTTAAAAGGAAAATCTCATTTTTGAGACTGAAGTAACTGAGTAATAATTAATCTGTGACTATCATTCATACCAGTTGTACCACTGCTGCCATGTATATTTTTTTTAGAAGACAGGGTTGAAAAGGAATGGGTTGCCCACTGCCACCAAAAAGAGGAAAATCCCAGTTTTATTTTGCAAATACATATACATTTCTCCTTGAGTACCTTAGCTGGGCTATTTAAAAATCCTTTAGACACCTCCAGAATGAAGGGAATTTCTTAAAAAACTTGCCCTGTCAACAAGATACATGGAAACTGAGTAATCAAAGTGCACATACATGCATGGAGATATATACAAATTCTCTATCCATAATATAGAGAAAACAGGTGCATATTTTGACATTCTGGCCACTACTTTGATCCTTATTTAAAAACCCAGAAAAGCTAGATGCTGAGTGGAGATACAGTTGAGTTGACATTTGTAATTTTCCATGGAAAATATTGTAGAAGTCACCATTGTTGCTATATTACATTAGACAAATATAAAAATCGCCACTCTACCTCACACACATCCAATGGAAAAGTCAACATAGCACGAAACATTGCCAAGGAGGGGCATTCCTCGTGCTTGTAAGACACATGGGAGAGCTAGTCTGCTCTTTTTCTGGAGGACTGGAATTGAGTCTATTCACCATGTTCTAAGAAAGATTCAGACAGATGGGAAAGCAACAGGAACTGGGAAAAAATTAAAAAATGTCACATTCAGAAAAGGTTTTAGGAGCTTCATTTTTTAGCCTGGAAAAAAGCAGATCGGGCAAATGATGGGAGCATCAGTTTGAGCAATTGGCTCCAAGAACCTCCGAGCCTTCACCGGCGCTCACAGTAGTATTCTTTTAAAACTTGGACAAGCCCAATTCTAGGGTATTTTTTCTTATTTTGATACAATAAAAATTGCTATAGATGAGGTAAACCCCTAGCATTTCATACACACAACCAGATGCAGAAACCCAGCACTGAGCCCCACAGTACAAAGAGTCACATTAACTGAAAAAAGAAGTGAAAGGTAATTAGTTCTCAACAACCCTGCCTTCATTTTCATATCAGTCAGCAAAAAGAGACAGGAAAGAATAATGAGGGGAATAGATTTTCATTTTATATTCTTAAAGTTTCATGTGAAATACCTACTCCAAGTATAATTTTTTGAGAGTGTTCAATCACTTCTCAGTGCACTTAAATTTACATCGCACAAATAAAGATTACTGGCCTAATTCAAAATTAAATGATACATCAGTTCTGTTCTTACAGCATGAGAGCTAATTAAAATGGAGCTGCTACCAATTGCCATTAATAATTGGGGTATATTTATGTGATTCAGAATTGTAAAATGACAGTGAATACACTCCACATCCAATGAATGCTTATTGGATTAAAGGGCTTTCATAATTTTGTCTCGATGGCATCGCTCCATCCCATTCTCAGTCACTTGGACTATGCGGTAAACGTGTTCGATGCATTTCTGGAAAAGGTTTGAGCTGAAGCTACATTTAGTTCCTTCACTGCTGGAATCTGTCTCCCCCGTTCTTTATTTCCTCTCCTCTTCCCTCTGCTCCTGAAAGGTTTCCTTGAGTTTTTCCTCTGGTATGTTGCAACTTACATGTTAGCTCATCCTTTTCTTTTTTCATCCTTCCTTTCAACTGCAGAGGGGTCGTGGTTTGTTTTTAATTTTCTTTTTGTAATACAGGCATTTCAGTCAAGTCTGTGCTTTTGTTCTCTGGCGTTTCTGTGTGGCCTTGGCAGTTGCTAGAAATTGAACGGAGCTGTCGTGCTGCTGCCAGAGCCACAGGGAATGTTCTGCTGAGCACCAGCACCACATGGCCTGCAAATCCCCTAAGATGCTTTCATGGACGAAGGAAGGAGAGCAGAAGCACAGCAAGGAGAGGCTTTTTTCTCATTTATACATCAATATGCGTTTGAACTGCCTTGTCTCCAGTCACACAGCACAATGGATTTAGAATTTTTAAGGTTATGCATTACGACTCGCAAAGAAATAGCTAGTACTCCTAATACACTCACATTTCCAACATTTGTATTTGGGCAACCGTAGCGACTGGGGATGAGCAGGAAATAGATTTTATCACCCATACAGGCACGCCATTAAGTTGCTACACACAAAGCTTATTTGCTCAACCTTAAATACTAGCATTTGTACACACAGATATGGGTCTGGGAAAAGCATGCTTTCGAGGAGTCTGTATGGACTAACGAAGGACAGTTAGCGGTGATCTTAAACGCTGTTTCAGAGTTAAACATATTCCGAAAAAAAGCACAGGACACTATATGTAAGTGATTGTGCATATTTAGTTCTTGAAATGCCATCCTACACATGTTGGGACATAGGTACTAAGACTATGGGTCCCGTGGTCCTTATAAAGAGTAGATGAGGTGTAAAAGCACTGAGAATATGAACTCTAAGGGGTCTGTTTTCTCTTCTACACTGGAGGTGTCTGAGCAAGGATGTACAGGCTTTTCAGTGCTGCATCAGTGCTTGGGGAAAAAAAAGATGTTTCACCTGCACAGGATTTCTGACGGTGTAGCAGCTGACTTCTGTGCTTTAAATGAGGTAGTAAGCCATAAGGAGAAATCACTGGGTAAGCCTAGATACAGTAATTCTTGGGTTTTATGAAAAGCAGTTAACATACGTTAAAAGTACAGCTTGCTTCCTCTAAGTTAGCCAGCCCATGTCTAAAAGACTTTTCTCCAGAGTAGGCCAGGCTTGAGAAAGAAGTAGCTTAGCTCACTGGCACTGTGATGGGGGAAAGAGGAACGTGATGTAAAATAGGAGCTGGAACATGGGAGGACAGAAGGCCTGAAAGCCTAGATGTAAGGTTTGAGGAAGAGACTGTTCCCTCTTGACATTTGAAGCTGCTGATTTGATAGATTCAAGGGGGGAAAAAAAAAAAGAAAAGAAAAAGAGAATTTTGGACATCTATCAAGAAAGGAAAAAGTATTTAAAAAAATATAAAATCAGGGGTTCCCAAACAGTGTTTACATATTGCAGAATGTATGGACTCCCAGATGACCTTCTGGTTAAATTAATGTTGGAGTTTTGCAGAAAGCCAGCAGTTACATGATTTAATAAGCTCCCCATGGGAGGGGCAGATTAAGATGGTCTAGTACTACACTCTCAAAAATATCATATTTGTCATTAGTACGCAAGCATGGAATGGAAACTGGAAAGCAATGGATGCGTTGATTACCACCATAATCTTCTTGTCAGAAAAGCAACAGTCCTCTGAGGAAAAGGAAGGGTCACAGGCCATTGATAATTTTGACATTTTTGAACATTTTGGCAGGAGCTGTGTAATGGACACACTAGCATTCTCCATGTTAAATGGAGAAAAAAACAAGACAACCTCCCACCATACCCTTACACTTTAAAGGAAAGTGATTTTCCCCCTTCCTTTTAAGGGAATGTACTTTAGGCTGAAAAAGAAATTACAGGGGGAAAATAAAGCTTCCCAAGGTCCAGTGGCTATATTGACCAATTTTCTTTGACAATTCTAAAGCTCTGCAACTTTGTTGACAGGCAAATGAGTTCCTGCAAGATTTGCTGTTGAGGTAGTGGGTGATGTCCTGGCTCGAGCAGCGTTGCCCTGCCTGCACTGGAGCCAGGCTGTCAGCCAGGGTCACTTCAGCCTTCCTGGGGGGCAGAGGGGGGTGAGTCAGAGAGGGAGAGGCGCTCCCAGGGGTCCTGGGAGCAACCCTGCGTGCTCACCATGGCACGGAACTGCCTGCACCAAAAGCAAAAAGAGGGAAAGCACAGCAATCTAAAGAAAACTTTATGTTCAATATGGTCATCTGTTAGAACGATGAATGTGGAGATGGTGCTGGGACTATCCTTAGGATGCTCCAATAGAGCAACAAGAGTGGCACCTTGGTGCTATCAGATTTTATAAATCTTTCCATACATCTGATTTAACGCCTCAAATAACAATGTGTCTGTAGCTCTTAGAAGACATTAACAATGTTCATTTATGCTACTTTTTTCGTCAGAGCAGCACTTAAAACCAGTTTCAGTGCACTGCTTACATTCTCAGATAACCCTAGGGCCATCAGTGTCTACAAATCAAATATGGAAAAATGAGCCACCTTTCCTGTCAACTGCTACATAGCAATTTAGAAATTTTTTATCCTTGTGTGAGCCATAAAAAAGGAAAAGTTGAAATGGAAAGTCAAGCACTGCCAAAGACCTCACTGAAGAAACAGGGGTCTCTGTTATTCAGTGTGATACCGATCCTGATGAAAGAATTTGACCAGCCCAGCTGTGCAGCACTTGGTCTGTGCAGGGTGGGGAACAGCTGGTTATATCGCTTTTGTACAACAGATGTGTGACACTTGGAGGGCGAGATTGACTCATTAAGGGTATGAGGATGACACTTTAAAAAAAAGAGAAAGTAATCAACAGAGAAGTTAGTGAGTTCTTAGGCTTTAATCCTTTTTCAAATGTGCTACTTGATTTAACTTTATGGGTGACATTTTCATGTCAGTAAAACAATTCTGTAAAATTCACGAATTGAGGACTGAGAAAGGAGTATGTTCAGGTCCTACAGCTTAGCACAGCTGCAGTGACTGAGCGACTTGCTGTGTATTAAATCATTGAATGACAGGTTCATGTAACAGCAAATGAAACCAAGCTTAAATATTTCCCTTTTGACTGGGTAAAAAATTATTTTTTTTCATACCACCTTGACTACAGGACTCATGAAGTCTAAAATAAATGACAATGGCTGGCATTATATGATTGACTTACTGTAAAATGTGTTTTCAAAGATATTGTTGGAAGCTGTGATATCCGCACAATATATTCATGCTGGATCACAGCTTGTAGATGCATGAGTACTTCCTAAGAAAACATTTGGTGCCCAAATCTCACCTAATGCAGCTATTGTTTTCACTTCCTTCAACAGGATTTCAAATACACATTACAAATAAATTATTCTGTCTTAGAAAGAGAATGGGATGGGTATTACTATTTTTCAACTGGTAGCATACCTTCCAATATATTTGGAAGGATAAGAACAAAATCTAATTGAAAACTTTCCTTTTTAACATGGTGGGAGAGGGAACAGTACAGTTATCTCATCCAGACACAGAACTGACAGTCTCACTAACTTTAATCTGTCCGGATTCCCTATTACATTGCTTTACAGCACATATTTCAGATGTTACAAGACAGAACAGAATATCAAGGGAACATACACCCTGCCAGCTACAAACGACAAAAGGCACAAACACGCAGAAGAGATAAGGCCATGACAAGTTTAGCGAAGAAGATTGTTTTTTGTTTTTCAAATTTCCTTCTTTCCCATCATGAACAGATTTTGTCAAGAAATGCAAGAGTCAGATTTTAAATAAATGTGTTTGCAAAAAAAGAGAAGTTGTGCAGAGGCTGTTTATGAGATGTCTGCTTTCACACTACATGCTTTTCCTAGCTAGGTATCAAAATACTGGAGCCAAAAATTGTCTGAGTACCTCATTGTTTATTGTTTCTCAGACTGGCATAGGCAAGCAGATGAAAAGTCTTTCCAAGTGGAGACAGAGAGGGTACTAAATGACAATCGGTCTTGGCACAGACTTTTGGTGTGTATAATCAGCAAGGTTTCTAGAGCTGCTTGATTCTTACAAAGCAGTAACACACAGTCTGTCTTTCAGCTTCTAATTATGACAGCCATTGACCTTCAAGTTTGTTCAAGTTCCTTGCAAATGCCAACAAAGTAATTAAAACTTCACAGGAATGTGACAGTCGCAGGAAAAAATAGAGTAGTAGGGCCAAAACTTCTCCTCTTGTTATTTTAGAGAAAGTACACTTTAGAGGAAACAGAAAGCCTTTGGTCTTCACTTCCTTCCTAAGAACTCAGTAAGTGCTTTTAAAGTACACATTTGATGCAATTGTTATGATCTTTGATTTACTTTTTAAACGTCTTGCTTTTATGCAAAGAGTATATTTAAAAATGCTGTGAAAAGAATGAATTCCTGAATCATGATCTCTTTCACTTACACGCTCTGAATGAGCTCAAGATTGTTCAGCTGGCCAGGGAAATTATAATCTCATGACCACAGTCCTCCAAGGATGCACATGTATACATGTGGAAGATGATGAAGGAAGATAATAGTAGCAGTCACAGCACCCTGATCCAGCCTGACTTCTACTGATAAACTCATTACCTCTTGGTATACATTAATCCCATAAAGTGCAGGCAGCAGTATCAAAGATACAAGAAACATTAACAACAAAGGAATTCATTATTGCCAAGTAGCAGCAAACAGTAGGACACATAAAATTTGAACATCTCCAGCAAAATCAGAGAAGGCCAGAACTCACAGTACAGATATTCCTATGTTTTTTCTAAAAAGTAGCACAATACACTGAAAGAGCAAAGCCTTCTTTATAAATCTTAATGAATTGAAAGGAAAAACCTCTCCGCATGCCATTCCATGGAGTGAATCTGCTGCAGTTCCTAGGGGGGAAAAGACCACTGCAATTTTTCAGCGTAGCTATGGAAGCAATTTCCTGTCCCTGCACTCTTTGTGTTTTCATTTCTTCTACACAAAACAAACTGTCAAAGCAAGGTGTGCCACGGTTCTGCTCTTCAGAGAGGTCTGAATGCAGAACATCTTTGATCATGGGTGGAGAGTTCCAGCAGGTTGTTTCCTCGCCCCCTGCTCTGGAGCGATGCTCAGATATTGGCTCTCTTTGGGGGTCCCTCCCTCCCCTTGTCCCCCAAATGAGAAATTGTGTTTGTCTGCTACTGGTACTTGGTCATGACAGCACCTACAAAATGCTGACCACGAGTTGAGCAAAACCAGTCTTTTTGCTCCATTTGTCACACTTGTACGTGTGAGCAAAACAGATCAAACCTAACTCCACACACATACAATTGTTATTTGTAAGAAGAGGAGGTAGTGTATGAAAAAAAAAAAGAAAAAAAGAAGTTGACTTCAGACCGCCTTTTTACTAATGATATTCCCAGCATCTAAAATCATCTTGTGACACACATACATACTCTTTTCTGCATTCTTGTGTTTGCTGTGCATGCATCTTACGGCCTGTACACACAAAATTGTAGTGAATTATAAAAGGGACAGCAATAGTCCTAAGACATGACGGTATCTCATTTTAATGGCTAGTCCAGGGATTGTTCCAATCACTGTGAACTCCCTTAATAACACTACTTATCACAGGAGCTAAATCTAATTTCATAATTTTAATTTCCTGTAATGTAAAATGTTAGACTCATTTAAATTCTATCTAATTTGTGTATTCCTCACCTCCCCCCAGGCAGCAGGTGGAGGCTCCACAGGAGGGTAATATTTGGGGACATCCCAAGCCACTGCAGCCATGAACCACTTGAAATCTTTACATTTAAGGTGCTTGCGAAGTTCCTTCTGGGCAGAGATATCACCAGTTGAGAGATGTCTGTACTCAGGCCGTCGCTGGTAAATGTACTCTGCAAACTCATCCATCCACGTCTCTGCCACGCGCTTCAGGTTCTGTGCAGCAGAAAAAAGCAATCATTAATTTCTTCATGCTTTGACTGAATGATATTTCTAATGGGGAGAATTAAACCAGCTTAGCTGGTCTGATTTCTCAGTCTTAAAACATGAAAAAATACCAGTAAAGGTATGCTATCTTCATTGCAGTGTTGAGCAAATGCTATAGAGTATTAAGCACTCTGCTTTCCAGCTGACTTTGTAAGATATGGTCTTCTGTCTGCTGAACATCTTATTTTCCTTCATATTCTTTATGCATGTTCACATGGGTTTTAGATTAACGATGGATGTTGAACAGAAATTTTCTTTCAGCTGCCCACACTGGTACCTACGATTTTTCCTGTTAGTTCAGAACCTACTAATATGCATGAATGGTTCAAATTATTCCTTCTGATCTGTTTTGCTTTGCATTTGAAAGTGCAGCTGAATTTTCAGCTGTCATCATACCGGTTAGTCACCTAGCAATTCCTACCTAAATTTTGAGGTCAGCTCTGAAGTGCATATGTATGGGGGCAAGCAGCCATGAGCTTGCTCTGCCCCATCTCACAGCTGGTTTTGCACTACCATTGGCCTAGAACAGTTGCTAGCACACTGTATCGGTGTGCTAGAAAGTTTGTGCAAAAGCACAACACATAATCCTGAAGTGGAGCTGACCTGAGGCAAAGCAGCTCAAGGGACAGGTATGGCAACTTGTGACTTTCTGCACTCATCCTATAGTTACCTAAGGCTATTTCTGATCCATGAATCTCAGTTCTGGCTTATGTCTGACAAAGTTTATTTTTGTTGGCATTTTACAGAAAATAGAATTAGTTGTTCTGTTGTGTAAGAATTTACTTAAATTATAATTAAGTTAGCTGACTCAAATTATAAAAGAAAAAAAATACTTTTAAGGAAAAATCCTGGATAGATGAGACTGAAGAGAGATATTTTATTGTTGGTGAGCGTCGTAGAGTTTAAATAGTCCGGTGGAAAATTTTTCTGTATTTTTGTTTGTTTTTAAAGCTCCTCCTGCAACTTAATCCACACAAATTTATATGCAGATGTCATAGTCGAGTACAGACTTAGTCTATTCTGCATTTCCACAGCTGCCCAATAACCTCTTAGCCTACCAATAAAGCAACATCTCACTGGATGACATTGAGACACTAGGGTGTTCTTATTGCTTTGTTTGTAAAAACAAGATCATCAAGTTTTGTAATATTCTTTTTATAGAACACTAACTGCAAAAGGCTGAGATTTGCTCTGTAATAAACTGAAGAACAATATACATCTGATTATCATCAACATAAGGTAATGTTTTTTCTCAGAACATTCTCTGCATCTAAGTAAGCCCGATTTGTACTCTGATTTGCTTTCAAGATCCGTTCAAAAATTCCTTTCCTGAATTTCAAAAATCCACACAAACTAAACGTCTCTGAACGAATAAGGCTTATCTGAATACAAAGACAGCAAGATACAGAACAAAGTACTTTTAGCTGACACTGCGGGATAAGTTTCTATGTGCTTTCTCTCTGTGAAGCAAATACGTTAGAACCTGCAGGGATAAAGCAAGTAGAATTAAAGCAGTATAAGTAATCACAACATTTATATCCCTAATAAAAAAATGGCTCATGCCCCACATAAGGTTGACTTCCATCGTAATTTCATGAAAACCCAAACTACTTTACAAGAAATTAGAATTCAAGAATACAGGAACTGGGTAGGACAAAGAAAACCAGAACAAATCAAACAACAATATCTAAATGACAATCCCACCTTTCTAGCAGAAACCCTGTAACACAGAAATCTCTTGACAAGTAAAAATACTGTGTGATGAGACTTTGTAGATGAGGTCAAAATATGATTAAGCACGATAAACTAAGAAGATAAAATCATGAAAAAAGGTGTGATCTTTCTAGCATATCTTCCACTGTAATGCTGTACACCTCATTTACTACAATGCAAATGCAGTTTAAAACTGTTCTAGAAAATATCATACTATTTTCTGCAATCACTTTATCTGATAGTGCTATTTTCATATTTAAAAACCATAATATAAAAAGAACCATACAGTAAAAGTATAGTAAAAAAACTCTTAGGAAAGAAAAAAATTCAAAGTTAACTCCAGCAAAGACTTACCCTATCAATATTAAGAGTAGGCTCTGCTGGAGCTTTCTCTTTAGTTATTTGACTACGCTAAAAGTACTGCATTCTGCTTCAGATGATTATAACTGAATAAAACAGGAGTCCAACAGAAATAATGATATTATACCTGGTCACTAGCTCAAAATTCTCATTCACCAGTCAAAACCTCTTTATTTTCCAGTGAGTCCTTTATCTCTGTTTTGTGTGTGTATAAACCTTCCAAAACATTATATTAAAAAAAACCCAAACCAACAGTTCTTCCCACCATTCCCCAAGTATCAGATAAGACACTTTAAATAAATCTACTTAAAACTTTGTTCCTGGTTCTTCCAAGACCATTCTCTCCATCATATGCTAAAAATCCTCCCAAATCTTGCCAGATCCTGTAATGAACCTATATATTATCCTTAGCATGTTTATACATTGCTGTCATAGCTGAACTCTTATGAGGCAGCCCTTTGAATTTCAATAGGTTCCCTTTTAAAAATATAAACTCTTGATTTGCTAGCTCTAAATCTCCAGACTGTTTATGAACATGACTGCAAAGAACTCTCTGTCCTGGAGTAGTGGGAAGCTCTTTCTGAAGTTGCCAGTTACCAGGAAGCAAGCACTCAGCATCCAGACACTTTAGCTTTAAAGAGGTTTGTTGACTTTAGTTAGCATAGATTTCTTATCTTTATTATCACTATGCAAGCTCAGTAATCACCACACTTCCTTTTAACATAAACGTGCACAGACTGGTAGTAAAACTTCAAATTGCAGTTAATCCCTATACTTCAATTGAATGCAGTCAGGTAGAGCTGCTGTCCTGAAAGCTAGCCTGGTGCAACCTTGCACAATAAAGGCAAACATAATTTACATTCCTATTTAGAACATGCTAACCTAGCACATTCCTGGAGCAAAAGTTCAGGCTGTCCAGGATCTGTGAGCTCAGGTAAGGTAGAGATCCCAGTTCTGTGGCTGTCTAACATCATGAGAAGCTGCCCTGTGTGAAGAACCTCCTAGGAGCATTTCTCTGCAAATTATGTCAACGAGCTGCTGGTCTTTTACTCACCTTATCACAACAGAAAGGTTGTGGAGCACAACCAAAATGACAGTGTTCATCTCTGAACACTTTAAGGCCTACCAGTCAAGTGACTTGCTGTAAGGTAAGGACGTGATTGCAAGTCCTTTCCGAGTCCCCTAGAGTTGCCCTTCCCACAACCTGGGTGAATGTCTGACATGGTGGAGAAAGGAGGACGGTCGCTTCCTCCTTGCCTGAGACTTAGGTGAGGCTAGACACAATCTGGGCCATGCCAACATATTAAGCCTCATTAGTGGGAATGGTTATGAATAGCTACCAAATCTTGACAAAGCCTAGCTGTAAAACAGGTGCTAAGCAGTTCGATTTTGTTACGACTTTACCATGTGTGAGTGCACACTGCTGCAGAATTTTCAGGTCAAAGGAGTTTAAGAGCCTACCAGATTAGGTAGCATTTTGTGAACGTCTTTATAGCATCATTTAAGCACTCCAGTCTCACAGTGAAGCTAATCTACAAAGAATTTAGAACAAACAAAATAAGAGTTAGATTTGAATCTTTTTTATTTCTGTCTCCATTACTCTGCATAATCTTCTAAAGAAAACTCCTTTAAATGCCAGTTTCTCAAATGGCATCAAATAGCTTTATCAATAAGAAGAAACCGGTTTGGGATATCTTTGTGGTAGATCACACTTGTTTGGATTCTTTTACTTCAATGTGAACACCTCATCTAAATGCAATCAGAAAGGGAAAAGGAAATATGTTTCTACAGCTGAAAACTGCTGTAGCTTAGCTTGGTTGTCAAATTCATTGCAAAGTTACAGATATCCAGATTGGTTAAGCTGGTCTTTTAATAGAAAAAAGGAAAAATAAAAATTAAATGGGAGCAATTAAATTAAGATCAATTCAATATTAATCAGTTATATGAATTGACACACAATGTAACAGGGACTCTACATGGACATCTGAGGAGTTTCTCAGGACCTATCCATGACAGACCAATCATAATTTGTTCTCTCTCTTGTCATTTTCAGTGAAAAATTTCTGTATGAGAATAAATAAGGCCCAATGCTGTTTCAGTAGATGCATATTTCTATATGTAAGGTTGTGACAGCTGTCACCAAGCAGCCATGAGATGCATACAAAAGTGATGGCAACCACAGTAAGACTGACTCATCAGCTGTCATCAGTTGCCCATGTACGCATTCTTGATATAATTAAGTTTTGTGTCACTGTTACAAATTTACTCTCTGGTAAATCCTTTGCTGTCAGGCTTACCATTGGACAAGTTTTCTTTAAGTTTGTACGAACTCACATATTTAAGACTGTGACTTTGTTTTGTATTTTCACTCAGCAATAGTCTACAAGACAGTAAGTTACAACGTCGCTGATACCTGGACTTCAATAAAAGAGTTTAAATCAACTTGATTGGAGAAAGAGAGAGATAAATGAGGACTTCTCCACTTGAAAAGAAAGAAATTTTTCATGGGCCATTTTGTTCCTTTCACTTTCTTCAGTGAGCGGGGAAAATAGATCTCTCTGATCAAATGACTGTCCCTTCTTTTTTAAGTGTGTAAGATCATCTGTCATTTTCAAGAGACATGATATTACTCAAATAAACCCCGTGAGAAGAAAGTAGACGCTGGCCAAGAGAAGGGAAAAGTAGAGTAAGGCAGGGACATGTCAAAGGACAGATTCATAAATACTCCCTCTAAGCAAAGTTTAACTAGATGGATCCCTAGGATGAGAGGGGCAGTTCCACATTTCACACCTGTGGCTGGTGCGGTGGCTTGCAGTGACAGCGTTGATAGGAGAGCTCCCTAGCTGTACGCTCCTCTGCACCGCGAGCCCGCACCG